GCTGCGGGCACCTCGCCCTGCTCCTCAATGAGAGGATCCCCTACAAGATCTGCCGGTGGTGCAACTGGAACGGCTCTGGGACGCCCTCGTCCCCTACCACGGGCCGGTTCCCTCCCCCGGCCTCTACCTCGGCCTCGAGCAACGGGGGGAGCAGCTCCTTCCGGGTCCGGAACGTCAGCGGTGCGATTTCTCACCATCTGTGAGAGAATAGAAGAGGGAAATTTAGTACACTAAGCACTGCACGATAGGAAATGAGTAAAGAGTAGTCTTTCCTAATATCCTATAGCCTCTCGAAGATAAATACAGACGTCTCTGTACCGATTAACAAGACTCTATCAGGTTTGCCCATAACTCATGAGACCTACGTGAACCTAGTGCTCTGATACCATGTTGTCACGACCCATTTCCACAATAGGTCATGATGGCGCCCGACACCGTTGCTAGGTAAACCAATGCGGAACCATTTCCATCTCCTTATGTTAATTTTAGCGGAAATTTACGTGAAATAATTACCCGAAGGTGGAGTTCGCAACCCAAAAGTGATAGATAAAATAAATAACACAATATTACAACCCCAAAACTAGTCTACCAAAGTGTATGCCAAGACCTGGTGTCACAAGTACGGGCATCTAGTAGAATACACAAAAGAATATCTCTATCCTACTGTCTGAGATAAAGAAAGACAACAAAAGTAAAAGAAGACTCCATCCGGCTGCTGGGCGGCGTAGGAAGGAAGCAGCTCACCGTGGAAGTCAATGTCACAAACTCAAGGGCGCGCAGCGGACTGGTAACCAGATGTATTTGCCTCAAATCCTGTACCCAACAGAAATAAACTGTGCACTTGCCGAGGGTCGACGGCGAGCCTATAGATGCATCTATTCATACCGAGGCGATCGGCAAAATAATAAGAAATATCAAGTATACACACAAGGCGCATCAATAGTCATTAATACCAAGCAAGACTTCAACAATTATACAAGTATGTTCTTATTCCCTTTTTAAGTCTCTAGCATATCCTAGGTGTCCGTATTAACAAGATAATATAGAGAATCATATGAGATAAGCATGGTGTGGGTCTTAATCTACCCGGACAATTAACATAGTAGTAGCTACGCACGGACTCTCGTCAACTAGCGCGTGGTAGCCCCCCGCATTAAGCAACAATTACTCATTTATTAATCCTATGGGGACAATTCCCTCTTACAAGGTTAGAAAGGAGACTCACCTCGCTCCAAAGCGCACTTCCAATATCGAAAACAAGCCCAAGTCCTCAATTCGGAGCCGAACGATCACAAACTAGTTAAATAAAGTAAGAACTAGCCAATAAAGTCTTACAAGGTCGAATTCTAACTATTTAAGTAATTTTCCAACCTTTTCCACAAGTTTCCTAAATTCTGACCCCGGGCCCACGTGCCCGGATTCCGAGATTTTTCGAAGAAAATTGTTCTCTACAACTTAAGGATCAATAATATATGATTTCTAGTTCATTCCGTAACAAATTTCGTGGTCAAATCTTAGTTTTATTAAAACCCTAGGTCTAGCTCTAACCCTTTGATTTCACCTAATTTTTAGTGTTTAATCTACCTAATATACATGTATTAAAACTAATGATGCGTGGAAATAACTTAACTCACAAGGTTATGTTGAAATCCCTCTTTGGAAGCTCTCAAATCGCCCAAGTGTAGTGTAGAAATGAAATAAATGCTCTTAAGTCCCGTTTTTAAAAACTCTTCCCAGCCCTCTGATGTTGCAATTGCGACACTGGGCTCGCAATTTGATATCGCAATTGTGACATTTCGACCGCAGATGCGAACATCCCCTCCCCCTGCCTCGATCACAAAAGCGAAGGAAAGTCCGCAAATGCGAACCCCCTAGTTTCGCAAATGCGAAGAATAAGGCCGCAATTGCGACTCCTGCCCAGCCGCCCCAAATTCGCAAATGCGATGTCTCACTCGCAATTGCGAGTTCGCAATTGCAAACAATATCTCACAATTGCGAGACCTGCAGCAGGGGCCAAAAAATACCAGAAAACTGGTATGTTTTCTCAACTTCAACTGTGCCCGAATCTCACCCGAGCCCCCAGGGCGCCACTCCGAACACTCATACCAGCCCTACAACCATGTGCAAACTTGCTCAAGCAATCAAATCGCATAATTAACACCTAAAACCATGGATTTACACCAAAAATGCATGAAATCCTCAAGAACACCTAAATTCCTAACTTTTCAACCGAACATCCGAATCACGTCAAATCAATCCCGTTTCTCACCAAATTTCACAGACAAGACTAAAATATTATATCAAACCTGTACCGGGCTCCGGAACCAACATACGGGCACGATATCTATGTGATCAAGCATTTTTCCTTTTTATTAAACTCTTAGGATTTCAGTTTAACAATTTTCAATAAAAATTCATTACTCGGGCTAGGTGCCTCGGAATTCGATTCCGGGCATACGCCCAGGTCCATATTTTTCCACGGACCTCCCGGGACCGTAAAATCACGAGTCCGGATCCGTTTTGCCAAAAAGTTGACCGAAGTCAAACTTGGCATTTTAAGGAAATCTTAAAGAAACAATTAGGCATATTTCACTCAAAACACTTCCAACTCCCGAACCGACCGGCCTCGCAAGTCGTAACTTAGCTAAAGAAAATACGGGAAGCTTTATTTAGGGGAACGGGGTTCTAAAAGGCAAAACGACCAGTCGGGTTGTTACAATTATACTGAGAAAAGGAAGGAAAAAAATAATACTATTAAGTTTTTGAAAAATATAAAGCTTAAACACAAAAAAATTATATACAATACTGATGCATAACCAGATCGTCGTAGTCAATGCATGAATCAGTCATAATCACTTCAAAAGTTGGAGGAATCTCTTTTTCAATATCACTGGAAGTAGAAGAGTAAGATATGTCGTTACTGCTAGTAGAAGAGTTAACCAGGGTTCGTTTGGTTGAGGGAGAGGCATCCATAGTTTAGGTTTGAGTATGTGAGTGTTTTAGTTCTTTAGTGTTTGAGTATGTGACCATATTTATAGGGGACAAGCCAGTGTCCAAAACCCTCTTGATCAAAAAGGGTGTATCGAATGCTAATTTTTCTGTCAGTGAAAAAAACAACCTAGTTTTGGCCACACTATCTGGTTTTGTTTGAAGGGTGTATTGAATGCTAATTTTCTAGTCAGTGAAAAAAAATAACCTATTTTTGGCCACACTATCTGGTTTTGTTTGAAGGGTGTATTATTCCTGTCAGTGAAAAAAAGCAACCTATTTTTGGCCACACTATCTGGGTGTATTGAATGCTAATTTTCCTGTCAGTGGACAAAACAACCTATCTGGTTTTGTTTGAATTATCGTAATTAATGGTGTTTGTTGAATTGCATTTATTATTTCAGGGGAAAATGTGGTGTTAGTTGAATTGCATTTATTATTTCGGTTACCAACCCTTTTTTGAACTGAAGACTATTCACATTCCAACCATATAGTTAGGGTTTGTAGTTAGGGTAGTGAAATGATACCAAAGTGATATACCAAAATAGAAATTTGATAACTGGAAAATCAAAATACACATTACATAACTAGAAAATTAAGTACTGGAAAATAAAAGTACATATTAAATAACTAGATAAAAGCTAACAAAAGTTAAAAACAACATAAAATGGGAAGAAAAAACATAAATTTAAATACTAGTTAATTTCAACTGGATCTTGGAGAGTTCCTCGGCCTTTCACGTGCGATTGGAAGACAGCACAAAATAGTGTAATTTCGACCAACTCAAATTTAATTAACCAACCCCGCTTGATGTTATTATTCATCACAAAATATTTCCATCCGTCTTTGAACCATTTCCTTCTACCCATGTTAATTTCCATAAAACAAGGCTCGCCATCATATCGAAGAACCGTTGTGCTATGTGATTCAGGAATGTGGTCGTAAAAATATTTTGGAATATGCTGCAAACAAAAAGAAAAAAAATTGTTTGAGAAATATTTTTTCCAAAACAAAATCTAAACACACATATTAAAAAAGATTAGCAATATGTTTTTTCAGAAATAAAAAAAATTAAAACCAAGTCGAAAACCAGATCTACCCCTCTTCAAAAACCAAATCGAAACACCACCTATTTCGTTTCTGATTCTTTTGCAAAACCAAGTCGAAAAACAGAAGCATTTAAAATACAGAATTTTAAAAAAAATAGATCTCATTTAACATATAATCTTGCTTGATGTATGAATCCTTCATGAGCACTTCAAAAGATGGATTTGTATCTTCGTCGTTTCCAGAGGAGTAGCCGGATGGGGATCGTTTGGTAGCGCTGGGAGAGGGGTCCATGGTTGGGTTTTAGGGTATTGAAAGTTGTGTGTCTGTGTGAATGGGTATAACTATATATATAGACACATTTAACCCTTAAATGTGTAAATAAAATAATTTATTTAAGGTAAATAGCATTTCACCACATGACTCAGACGAACTTCAATTAAGGAGATACTTTTTAAGGTAATACGTATCGGCCACTAATTCTTTGTATCAATATATATATATATATATATATATATATATATATATATATATATTGAACCTACGATAATTACATCGTTGCGATTCACAGTTATTTAATAGCCGCCGTTTATGTTAATTTCATTCATTAAGTTCATATGTATCGGCCAATGGCAACCATATAAGTCCATCGACTAAGGTTGTAGTCATATGACCTATGATAATTACATCGTTGCTTCTCACCCCCCCCCCCCCCCATGTCTAGTATTAAGCTAATTTTATCAAATGTATTAAGCAGTCTAGTAACAAACACACAGCAAATGATGAATGATTCACATCACAAAACATAAGAAAATTAAAATACGGCATGTAACAGAATTGTCAAAACACGACATAACAGGATTGTCAAAAACACGACATGTACAGAATTGTCAAAACATGACATGTACCAGAATTGTCCAAAACATGCAATGTACCAGAATTGTGAAAAAGAAAACATAAATGAACTAGTAGTTTATTACAACTTCTGCGTCAGGTGATGCACACCTAAATTCTGAATGCTCAATTACTGATTTGAGAATTTCATAATCTTCATACGTCAATGACTCGATTATGATTCTCGTAAGAGCCGAAGATTTTTCCAGAAGAAGCTTCAACAGTTGCATGTGAGGATTTGTCCCTCGAATGCTCCTAATCACAATTATACTGAGGTTGTTGAATGTTGTTTCTTCAAAACTTCCTTCCAAATCAATATTATCCAGTGCTATAGGTACACTACTATTATCCACCCAAGAAATAATTTAAAAAAACACCAAATTTAAATGACTATCGGAGGTATAAAGAAGCAACTACGTAATGAGAACTTAAGAAGATAACCGAATGATTAAGTAAGAACCTTGATTTCCATATATTCTAAATATAGGAAGCTTCTCATCAAACACAAAGCACAGGCGACGGAATACAATTCACTCAGATAAAGACCATAGAGGTAAAGATTTTTCACACAGTCAACACGAAAGGGAAGATTAGTTGGTACTTCTCCTGCACCTGCAGCCAATAACTAGAAAGAACATCCCAAATTAAAAAGATGGCTCATAGACCACAATATATTCCATCTATGAAAAAGCACTAGACTGAAGTTATGAAGCATATTTACCTTGAGACTATGGTTATTCAAATGGAGATGTTCCACCGCACAAAAAGACTCAAGAACCCTAGTATAGTCAGGTTTTGATTCCAGGAAAATGCCTCCCCTAAAAGCAAGCGATACTTGTGCCATAAGAGGAACAGTTTTTAAACTGATAAACCATACTCTGCCCGTGAAGTCAAGGGACTTCAATTTGGGGGCATTAATTTCAATGACACCACTGAAATTATCTGGGAGCAGAAGCACCAATTGCTCGAGCAACGGGAAATGAGAGATTAAGCTTCCAAGCAATGTGTACGAGATTGTAACATTGTATAGCTTAAGGCAAATTAACCTATCAAAACCTATGAAGGCTGATGGATGCGATATAGGACAATCTTCAAGAGATAGATGCCTCAAATGCACACAATTGAAAAATAAAGCAGGCAATTTATATGGTGTGACGACCCGACCCGTCGTCTCATGAGTTACCGCTCCGTTTCCCCTATTTCTGCTTCTTTATGCTTCGTTATCCGTGTTTTATGTGTTCGAGTTGGTTGGAGTGGTTTTGGTAGGAAATGAGACACTTAGTCTCTTTAAGGAAGGCTTGGTTTAGAAAAGTCAACCGGATGTTGACTTATGTATTAGAGGGCTCGGATGCAAATTCCGATGGTTTGGTTAGCTTCGTAAGGTGATTTGTGACTTAGGAGTGTGATCGGAAGTAATTTTTGAGGTCTGGTGTGGAATTAGGCTTGAATTGGCGAAGTTAGTAATTTGGCGATTTTCGGTGGATAAGTGAGATTTTGATCCAAGGGTCCCTGGAATTCCGAGAGTTGCTGTAGCTTCGTTATGTTATTTGGGATGTGTGTGCAAAAAATCAGGTCATTCGGAGGTGATTTGGTTGGGTTTTTGATCAAATGCGTGTTTCGGAAGTTTAGAAGAACTTAGGCTTGAATTCGATGTAATTTGACAGTTCTGGTGTTGTTTGAGGTGTTTTGGTGATTGGAACAAGTTTGGATAATGTTTTAGGATGTATTGGTGCTTTTGGTTGAGGTCCCGGGGGCCTCGAGGTGATTTCGGATGGCTAACGGGGAGTTTTGGACTTGGGCAAATTTTAGATTTTTGCTGTTGCTGGTATTTTCGCACCTGCGGCTTGGGGACCGCAGGTGCAGTATCGCAGATGCCGGTTTGGTATCGCAGAAGCGAAGGGGCTGAGGAAGGCCTGGAGCCGCAGATGCGGAAGAAGGACCGCACCTGCGGAGTCGCAGATGCAGCTACTGGACCGCAGATGTGTAGGCGAAGTTTTAATGAATCTCCGCAGATGCGGAATATTTCCGCAGAAGCGGGTAATTGACCGCAGATGCGGTTTCGGCTGGGCAGAAGGTATAAAAGGTTCTTCTTCGTGATTTTTGAAGGGTTTATTCATTTTAACTTCGGACTTTGAGATTTTTAGGCGATTTTGAAGAGGGATTTCAAGGAGATTCATTAAGGTAAGGGTTTTGGACCTCAAAACACAATCCTATAGTGTTATTTCATGAATTGGTACTGAAAAATTTAGGGATTTATGGACTAAAAATGGAGGTTTAGAGCTTGAACTTAAGAGAGCTAAGATTAAGGATTTGAGGGGTCAATTGGACTCCGATTCTTGTGTTTTTGATATGTGTGCACTCGTGGCGAGATAAGGAACCCGTTGGTGTAAAAATTTCTGAGTTTCGAGAAGTCGGCCCGAGGCTCGGGTTTTGCTAATTTCGGGATTTTTGATATTTTTTGATTGTTTTCAATTGGGTTTTGTTCCTTTAGCATATTGTGACGTATTCGCTCTGCTTTTGGTTAGATTCGACGCGCGAGGAGGCCGATTTGAGAGGCAGGGGCATAGCGAGCTAGAGTTTTGGCCGGTTTGAGGTGAGTAATGAATGTAAATGATGTCCTGAGGGTTTGAACCCCGGATTTGCACATCGTAGTGCTATATTGAGGTGAGACACGCGTTTGATGATGAGAGCGGGGTCGTTTACTATTGGGGATTGTGACTTGGTCCGTCCCGAGTGATGTTCTTACCGCTTATTTGATTGAAGCCTATTTGTTGTCATCCTTATTTGTATTGATTTTCATATTTGGGCTTCGTGCCAACTATTTGAACCCTTCGGGGAGTTTTTATCACTATATCCTCACTGTATGGATTTATTACTTGAACTTAGTCGTACCGTTTTCTACTATTTTACAACTCAGCCATCTTTACTCGGATTTTGAAACTAAAAGATATACTAAATGATGTTTTGGGCTGAGAACTACTATTTTATTATTGCCCGGGGGGCTTATGTGATTTCTGGACTGAGTAAGGATCGGGCTGCGCGCCGCAGCAGTATTATATTGGTATTGATATCAGGCCGAGGGCCTAGCTGATGCCACGAGATGGCTTGATATTGCGCTTGGACCGTAAGGGGCCCCTCTCGGAGTCTGCACACCCAGTGAGCGTCGTCGACGATTAATAAATGGATCGGGCTGCACGCTGCAGCGGGTACTAGAGAGTACCGTACTATGTGCTGCATTCCTTTATTTGGTTATCATTTATTTGCTTATCTGTTGTAGCTTTTCCGTGTTTCTACTTCACTGGTTATTGATTTCATACTACTTGGTTTAAACTGTCGTATTATAGATTATAATGTGTTATCCATTATTTCTTATTCTCAACCTTTATTTATGTTTATTACTCACTGGGTCGGAGTACTCAAATTACTCCCTGCACCTTACGTGCAGATCCAGGTGCACCTGAGGCTGAGTGAGGATTTTCTGTTGAGCAGTGCATATCTGGGATCATCGAGGTAGCTGCATGGCGTTCGCAGCCCTGATCCCTCCCTTCTATCCTTTGTTTTTATTTCGTATTCCCCTAGAGTGACATGTATTAGATTGATAAACCTGTATTAGAGGCTCAGACTTGTGACACCGGATCATTTGGGCTATGTAGTAGTATTGTTATTTGAATTTCCGCACATTTAACTCTTATTTAAGACTTCTGATATGCTGATTTGGTAATTTAATTGTGTTAGCTAATAACGAACTGTATAATGAATTGGGTTAAGATTGTTAATTGGTCGGGCTTGCCTAGCAGTGTGTTGGGCGCCATCACGACCGGGGTTGGAGTCGTGACATATGGTTTCTTCCTGATCGGAAATTTAAGATTAAGATGTTCCATACCATTTTCAGAGAGGAACCCTATCAACTGTCTAAAATAAAAATAAAAAGTCCTCCGAATACGGAATTGAGGGTGTAAACAGTTTAACTGGTCCTTGATGACGGATCAAAATGTGGCGGATAATATTTCAAAGTAACTTGTTTGGTGTATTTTCCAAAGTGTTTGATCAAGAGTAATTTGTGAAATTCTACACCATTTATATCTCCATTTCTTTGATAAGATGCTTGTTCTAAAAACATCTGGTAAAGGCATACGCATAAGAATATCATCAAGAACATCGTCAGGAAGGTTGCTTAGTATATCGATAGGTAAAGTTCAACTGCAAATCTTTTTTTCAACCGGAGGCATCATATTAGGATTAGAATTATAGGGAAAATGATTAACATTAGGATAAACAAAAGTTAAGATAAAGATTACGAAAAAAGAAGAAGAGGAAGAAGCAAGAAACCTGTTGAAATTTTGAAGATGGAGCGTCAAGGGACCATGGGCGGATAAAATGCAAAACCGAAATTTGTGTGTTTCGATTAACTTCCCAAGGAAGACATGTATACTTATACAGCCCTAATTTAGGATTCCAATGTATACAAATAAAAGAACAAAAAAGTATAAAAGTTCTAATCGGTGCGTTAGTTAAGTAAGGGTAGTTATTGCGTATATTGAGTGAGGCGTCTCGAGATGGAATCTCACCTTTGACAAAGTGGATTTTAATTTTTTCGTATCAACCCAATCAGTTTTTTTTAAGGTTAAACCAGTAGTTACATTTTTTATCTACTTTATTAATTTCCTTCTTCAGACTAATTTTTCCCTAAATTTTATTTTACCTTCCGCTTATATATCGTTGTGATTCGTAGTAATTGACCATCTATAAATATAATTTCAGTCATTAAGGTCATACGTATCGGCCTACAACGACCATATAAGTCCATTCACTAATATGATTGTAGTCATATGATCTATGATAATTCTATCGCTGTGATTCGTAGTAATTGACCGTCTATAAATATAATTTCATTCATTAAGGTCATATGTATCAGCCTATAGCAACCGTATAGGTCCATTTACTAATATGATTACCTATGCATATACTATCGTTATGATTCATAGTAATATCGACCGTTTATATTAAGGTCATACGTATCGGCCTACAACAACCATATAAGTCCATTCACTAATATGATTGTAGTCATATGACCTATGATAATTATATCGTTGTGATTCGTAGTAATTGACCGTCTATAAATATAATTTCATTCATTAAGGTCATACGTACCGGCCTATAGCAACCGTATAGGTCCATTTACTAATATGATTACCTATGCATATACTATCGTTGTGATTCATAGTAATATCGACCGTTTATATTAAGGTCATACGTATCGGCCTACAACAACCATATAAGTCCATTCACTAATATGATTGTAGTCATATGACCTNATAAACTTGTATTAGAGGCTCAAACTTGTGACACAGATCTTTTGAGCTATGTAGTAGTATTGCTATTTGAGTTTCCGCACATTTAACTCTTATTTCAGACTTCTGATATGCTGATTTGGTAATTTAATTGTGTTAGCTAATAACGAACTGTATAATGAATTGGGTTAAGGTTGTTAATTGGTCGGGCTTGCCTAGCAGTGTGTTGGGCGCCATCACGACCGGGGTTGGGGTCGTGACAAGTTGGTATCAGATCCTAGGTTACTTGGTCTCACGAGTCATGAGCCGGTTTAGTAAAATCTCGCGGATCGGTACAGAGACGTCTGTATTTATCCTCGAGAGGCTGCAGAACCTTTAGGAAAACTTCATCTTCTTGAAATTCTTGTCGTGCGAACTTGATGATCTGGGTACTAAATTTCTCTTTATTCTATTCTCTCACAGATGGTGAGGACTCGCGCTACTGGACGAGGTGGACGACCACCAGTACCACCCACTGAGGCCACCAGAGGCCGTGGACGTGGTCGTGGTCGTGGCAGAGGCAGAGTAGCGAGGGCAGCACCTGTTGATCCACCAGCTGTCCCAACTCCGGATCAGGCTCCAGCAGCACCAGTTCAGGCACCAGCTGTGGCCATCGTGATTCCGGGTCTTCAGGAGACCTTGGCACAGATCTTAACAGTTTGCACCGGCCAGGCTCAAGCAGTTTCAGCCACCACAGCAGCAGCTACTTCGCAGGCCGGGGGAGGCAACCAGACCCCCGCTGCTCGCATACCTGAGCAGGGGAGTGCAGGGACTACAGATGCCAGAGGCACCCCTAGCTCAGCCGGTTGCACCAGTGCAAGGCGTTCACGGGGTTCACGTTAGTGTCCGAAGCGGAAGTGACGCGAACGCGTTCCGGGTCTTTCGGTAGGTAACGGGTTTGGGTTTAAGGGTACCGTTAACCGTCCGGTACCCGTCCCGGTACCNAATATGATTACCTATGCATATGCTATTATTGTGATTCATAGTAATATCGACCGTTTATATTAAGGTCATACGTATCGGCCTACAACAACCATATAAGTCCATTCACTAATATGATTGTAGTCATATGACCTATGATAATTATATCGTTGTGATTCGTAGTAATTGACTGTCTATAAATATAATTTCATTCATTAAGGTCATACGTACCGGCCTATAGAAACCGTATAGGTCCATTTACTAATATGATTACCTATGCATATACTATCGTTGTGATTTATAATAATATCGACCGTTAATATTAAGGTCATACGTATCGACCTACAACAACCATATAAGTCCATTCACTAATATGATTGTAGTCATATGACCTATGATAATTATATCGTTGTGATTCGTAGTAATTGACCGTCTATAAATATAATTTCATTCATTAAGGTCATACGTATCGGCCTACAGCAACCGTATAGGTCCATTTACTAATATGATTACCTATGCATATACTATCGTTGTGATTCATATTAATATCGACCGTTTATATTAAGGTCATATGTATCGGCCTACAACAACCATATAAGTCCATTCACTAATATGATTGTAGTCATATGACCTATGATAAGTGTATCGTTGCGATTCGTAGTAATTGACCGTCTATATAATATCGTTTATATTAAGGACATACGTATCGGCCTATATCAACCATATAAGTCCATTGACTATTATGGTTATATCATTGTGATTCATAGTAATATCGAACGCTTGTATAATAGCCGTCTATATAATTTCATTAATTAAGGTCATACGTATTACTTTATTTATATAATAGTAAATATATAATTATATATATTTTTATTCTAGCTTCTTTATTAGCAGGGAAAACAATATGATATTTTTTGACTAAAATGTTAAATACAATTTTTGGAGGGAAACAAAGGGAAAATTAAAAATATGATTGGAGGAAAATTGAAAGTTTTTACTCTTTATATATCTCTTAAACACAAGAACAACATCTTCATCTCTCTCTAAACAAAATAGATACTTTAAACATGAATGCTAACGAATGGATTAAAGAAGATGTAACGACCCGACCGGTCGTTTTGGGCCCTAGAGCGTCGTTCAGCAGTCAGAGGCCATGAGCAACTTCACTTCAGGTATTATGACTTGTACGTATGGTCAAAATTGAATTTCGGGAAGTTCAGAGTTGATTTGGAAAGAGAATTCTAATTTCGGAAGCTTAAAGATGAAGGAATTAACCAAGATTTGGATTTTTGAGTAAACGACCTCGGAATCAAGATCTAAAGGTCCAAGCAGGTTCGTATGATGATTTCGGATTTAGCGTATGCCCGTTTCAGATTTTGGATAACTCGGGAGCGTTTTGGCGCATATTGTGGAATATAGCATTTTAGAAGAAATTTCATAAGTTTGGCTTGAAGTGCATTTCAGTGTTATCGATGTCTGTTTTGGATTTCGAGTATGTGAATAGCTCCGTATGGTGATTCTGGAGTTGGGAGTGCATTCGGAAGTAAATTCGGAGGTCCGTAGGTCATTTTGGAGTTATTTGGCTAGAGATAGAAATTTGAAGGTTTTTGAGAAGTTTGACCGGAAGTGGACTTTTTGATATCGGGGTCGGAATCCGATTCCGGAAGTTGGAGTAGGTCCGGTCCGCAATGTCGAATATGACTTGCGTGCAGAATTTGAGGTCAATCGGACGTGATTTGATAGGTTTAAACATCGAAAGTAGAAGTTTGAAATTTCAAAGTTCATTAAGCTTAGATTGGAGTGCGATTCATGGTTCTAGCGTTGTTTGAGGTGATTTGAGGCTTTGAGCAAGTCCGTGTTATGTTTTAGACTTGTACGAGTGCTTGGTTTGGAGCCCCGGGGGGCTTGGGTGAGATTCGGGATAGCTTCGGAGTGATATGTTAAGAATAGGAATTAGGAATTGTTGGTGCTGGTATGATCGCAATTGCGATGTACTGGTCACAGTTGCGACCTCGCATTTGCGAGGTACCGTTCGCATATGCAAACCTGGGCTGCTGCGTGGAGGATCGCATTTGCGAGTGTGGGGCTCGCATTTGTGAACCTGGGCTGCTGAGTGAGGGATCGCATTTGCGAGGGGGGCCATCGCATTTGCGATGCTGTCCTCTTCGCATTTGCGAGGAATCTGTCGCAAATGCGACCAAGTCAGGGGAGGCTGGGCTTCGCATTTGCGGAGCGTTTCTCGCAAATACTACTTCGCAATTACGAGCCTGGAGTCGCAAATGCGACTTCTGCGTCTGGTGCAGGTGCTTTTATTCAGAGACTTAGCCCATTTCCCTCATTTCCCACTTGGCCTTAGGCGATTTTTGAGAGTATTTGAGGAGGGATTCCATCACCATCAAAGAGGTAAGTAATTTCTACACATCTTAAGTTAAATACATATATTAGGGGTAGATTAACATGTAAAAATTTGGGAAAATCAAGAGTTTTAGATGACAAACCTAGAATTTGGTAAAAACTAGATTTAACCACGAAATTTGTTAGGGGAGATAGTAAAAATCATATATTCTTGATCCTTAGGTTATGGGTAACGACTTTCTTCAAAAATTTCCGGAATCCGGGCACGTGGGCCCGGGGGTGAATTTTAGGAACCTTGCATTTAGGGTTGGGAAATTCGTATAATAATTAGAATATGAACTTTTGAGCATCTATTGACTAGTTCTTACCCTATTTGAATAGTTTTGGATCACTCGGCTCCGAATTGGAGGTTTGAGCGCGTTCTTGAATCGGAATATAGGCTTCAGAGCGAGGTGAGTCTCCTTTCTAACCTTGTAAGGAATTGTCCCCATATGTGAGTTAATTGGTTATGTGCTCCTATTTGTGGGGGCTACGTACGCACGAGGTGACGAGAGTCCGTGCTAGCTACTATTATGTTATTGTCCGGGTAGTCTAGGACCCAAAAGCATGCTGTACTTGGAATAATTGTAATGTTGGTTACGGTTGAATTGCTTAAATCTTGTCGAATTGGTAAATGAATTTCTAAAAGGATTAAACTTCATTTTCTTAAATCGTTAAGAGAGAATTGGCTTTTATTTGGATAAATGTTCCTCGATAAATTCTTAATCTACTGTTTGAGCATGTATTTCTATGTGTTCCTGCGTTGCATGTAAGGTTTGGGAGCAGGATGATTGCTTATTTAAATTTGACCGCGTCGCATGTATGGTTCACGAGCGGGGTAATAGATGCATCTATGGTTCGTGCCGTTCGAACCTCGGCAGTGCACAGTTTAAATATTATTGGATCGGGCTGTACGTCCTCGGCATGAGTTGCACATGCTTGTATTGCTTGCTGTTAAAGTTGTTGATACTAATACCTGCTTTCCTCGACTTAAGATAATTGTCAATAAATGGATTATGAATCCGGAGATTTTAATTAAAAAGGAATTTCACCTGTTTAGTGACTCATTTGAATTTTACTGTTGTTCTTAATGGATTTGTGAGTCATCGCGTTAATATATTATTACTGGACCTTTAGTAAGTGTCGGAGTTGCCATCTCGTCTCTACTTCTTCGAGATTAGGCGGGATACTTACTGACTACACGTTGTTTATGTACTCATACTACACTTCTGTGTATTTTTGTTGCACAGGCACTTGTACTACTAGTGGCCTACTGGGCGTAGCAGCATGGATGATACTGGGACTAGGTGAGTTGCATTACTCGAGGCGGCCCACAGCTAGTATAGTCCCTTCCAGTATATTGTATTTACTTTCTGTCCATTTGTACTCCAGACGGATGTGGCATTATATTGTCTCTTAGAAATAGCTCATGCACTTGTGACACCGGGTTCTGGGGATGTCTATGGGTTTATTCAGAAATGTAAAATTGTTAATTGTTTCATCATTTATTCAATGGAATTCATCACGTATTGTTTAAACGCCTAAAAGAAGTGATTTCAGAAAATATTTAAACGAGAAGTTATTAGTTATTTGTTGTTGGCTTGCCTGACAGTAGAGTCCGGCGCCATCACGACCCTTAGTAGATTTTGGGTCGTGACAACATAATATCAGAGCACTAGGTTCCTAGGGTCTCACGAGTCATGAGCAAGTCTAGTAGAGTCTCGCGGATCGGTACGGAGACGTCTGTACTTATCCTCGGGAGGCTGCAGGACTATTAGGAGTACTTCCCTTCTTGATTCTTTATCGTGCGACTTGATCCTTGGGGCGTATGCCTTTAATTCATTCCTACTCAATCTTACGCGACGCAAACCGCTTGTTATAACTCGAGAATTGAAGAATTGTAATGGTAATACAAATGTGATACGGGATGTTTCTCCCGGTATAGCTAATCGGATTATTATCGTCACTTTGTACAAGGATATTTTATTATTTCAGCCCATTAGCGGTACCTCTGAGGGCTCTGAGGCTAGGCACAAGTTTCCATGATGTTTATGAACTATTGTTCCGCAGTATTGATATGATGGTAGGACATTTGCCTACTTGTCGGGGCGGTAAATGACTTGAAGGGAGGTTTACTCAGTGCATAATCTAGAGAATCATTTTTTTTATTCCCGGCAGGGGAAAGGCAATCGGACTAAGAATGGTCAGATGTGGGCTGGCGGAGTAATGAAACTTGGTATTTGCAAGCGTGGTGGAGCTTTCTTCTATGATGGGGTGTCGTTGTCCTAATTGAACGTACCAAGTTTGTCGGTGTTATGATCTTCTGCAATTCGCCTTTGGGGCAAGCTATTGTGAGATAGTATCTAAAATGCGGCTCTCGGATATCGCAGGGTGCAGTAGTTCAGGGTTGAATCAGTGTTTCTAATGTCGACGGTGTGAGAAAGATGATCTTCCGAAAGGTGTAAAGTTAGCAGCAATTGTGGGTTCAAGTGCCACGAAGATAGATTTTATTTAAGACAGCAGCTGAGCAGTAAAGGATGAGGAAAGGCATGTGGGAAGTGTCAGGCGGTGGCTAAAATTTCTAGAAGGCCAAGTATAAGAGGCAAAGGTCAAGTAGTCGATTAAAGGGACGAGTTCCGCCAAAGTGGGAGAGTGGCGGAGTTGCATATGGGCATTGGGGTAGGATGACTATGCGCCTTAAGGAGAGTCTGGCATGACTTGCGAATTTTAGTAATTTGGTGATTGAGGTCTACGGATTTAATTTGGAGTATGGGCTATTATGCGGCAGGAGATTTGATATAATGGGAAGGAGCTGCTTGAATGAAGAAGGATACAACATAACCTTGAATTGGAAGAATGTTGCCGCACATTTAATTGATGTCCACGAGGGGTGAATGGACTCGTGCAGCTGGAGAGAGAACTCGGACTCAGGATGGGTTATCGATGTCGTAGTGATTGTACCCCGTGCAGCAGCATTGGGAGATGTCGGGGAGTGATTTCCACGGGCGGGTTATTCCTGTGAGCAGTTTAGTGGTCGCGTGGTTGGCGAGGCTTCTGCGAAGAATTCAAAGGGTTATACAGCAAAGGGATCGGTCGTGCGAATGTTGTTGATGATTTAGAGTATAAAAGGGGGGTTTCTACAGTAAGATATCAAGAATTTTGGCGGTTGATTGCGCAAGGTTATGTCAATATGATATTAAGAATCCTGGTAAATTTCAGAGTTGTGTAATAGAGGCTTCGAGCTAAGTGGGAGAGTCCCACCGCCTATGATGGGGTTGCATGGTTAATTACTTGCGGGGTTTCTGATTTTTAGCATATTGATGGGTTATCTCAGCTACGGGAAAAGAACATAGGTGGTAATTTGAGCAAAGGAATTATTAAAGGTGGGCTATCGTTGGCCTTATTGGCCCATGTTCAGACTTGGGGAAGGATTCAGGATTGTACTTTGTAAAGATACGGGTTCCAAGGGAATGATTCTGCCAGGTGCTTCACCAATGGGGTATTCATGTGCTAGAAGATTTATGGAATTGATTATATTCGGGGCCAAGTCAGAGCGGGTGGCTCTCGACAACGGTCCTAGTGAATTCAAAAGATAAAGTGTGATGCCTAATGATTTCGAACCTATAGGTACGGTTAAGAATCAAGCTTGATAGAAGCCTATGAGAAGAGGCACAGAATGTTCTATGATGTTTTGACTTGCGATGTAGCAATTGGGAGGTACGAAATGGTACGTGGGATTTGAGACAGCATGGTCTCGTGATTCAGGGTCACTCGGGAAGAGCGCGGATGGAGTGTGTTAAGTGTTGAATGGGGTTATCATTGTTTCTATGTCAATCAAGGACAAATTGGAAGAAGAGGGATTGGTTAGCCAGAGTCGAATTGGCATGTTGCTGGTAATGATCAGTTCTTTCAGCGTGATCAAGTTATGCAAGTGAATTGTGACGGTGCGTGCGAGGCTTGTCGGCCGCCTTAGTTAGTGTTATTCAGAAAGTATTCTACCGTTGTGGCCTGTTATGTGGAGGTGGATCCCGGAAGGGCTATGGTGGTTTAGACCACTACTTAGAGATTTGCATATTCTACGGTCATGAGAATTCACCTGTGCGTTGCTATGGTCCTCCTGAAGTGAGTTAAGTGGAAGGTTTTATATGATGAAGTGTTAATCTAACAGTGGTTCCGACGCTATGATGAAAAACGAGTTCTATTGTATATTGGCATGTTGGGTGCAGTGAGTGGTATGGAATTTGAAGTGAAGATCAAGGTAGCAGTTCGGTGTCGACAAGGATGTCACGAGCTCGGATGAGCAGGAAAGAAGTTTCGATGTTTAAGGTAAGTTGGTATTGTCTTCAGCGTCACCTGAGATCGGTGTTTTGTAAAAAGGGCTTTGCATCCTCGTTAATGATTCTTGATCGCTTTTCAGCGTTAGTGCGGCCGGCGGTTTGGAGATACGACCCAGTTATTTGTTATGGTAGGTTGTAGGAGTGTGTCCCACAGGAAAATTGTATAAGTGTGGCAGGTAGTCACTGGATTGATTAAAGACTTAAACCAAGTATGAAGGTTGTGATGATATCGTTGATTTGAGAATAGATGCCTGGAGGGCACTCAGTTTATTGGGTTGTGGACTGCGGCAGATTACTCCTGTTGTGATGGTTGTTCTTGTGTGTTATGAGAAAAGGGAAGTTAGTATGGACCTTTGAAGGGTCATTGGCCTAGTTTGGTACGATCAGGGTCGACTT